TATATTTTTGATATTTATTTTATATATTTAAATGCCATTTAACAAAGAAAAATCAACCAAAAAAATGAGTTCGCGTGTCACCTCTGACACACTTGTCATAGCTTCGCCATCACTGATATAGGATGTTTTTTCATCTTTTAGGTAATTACAACACTGCTTTTTCCATTGTCCAAGTAATTGACAAGAGTTGACTACATTGTATTTCTTATTTAATGTTTTCTAGGAGTTCCTATAAGCACATTCTTTCTGTAACTAAAATAAGGTAATTGCTAGGAAATTACACATGGAATAGAATCAGAAATAGAATTTATAGTGAATAATGAAAATGTTGAAGATATTTATTTAATATTCTTGATGTTTATTGAAATGTCTACTGTGCAATGTTCCTGTATAAGAGATATAAAAATGAATGAGACATTTTCTAGAAGAGGAAACATATATGCAGCAAACTGTAGTTTGTAGAGACTGTTGTGCTACTGTGTGAATACTGTTTGAAAAACACAGGAGGCAGAGAGATTGATTCTCCTTTATACAGGGTTGAAGGAGAGGTGGAATCAGGGTGAGAAAAGAGATGATATTGATTTGGACTTTAAAGTTTCACAGTGGTTAATAGAGTCAGTTACAATCCAGAGGTGTGTGAGTAATGTTATATGGGTGAGGCAATAGGACTACACAGGCTGTAAGAGGAAATGGGGCTGGAGAGGTAGGCTGGGCTCAATACTGAAGAATCTCAAATACCTAGTTTGGTGTTTGGATGTGGCATTGGCAAACTAGGTGAGCCTTTGAGTGTGATAAATGTTTCAGAAAATTAATTCAGGGACAATGAGGAAAATAGAGGGACTAGAAGAAAATCAGTTGGGAATGAAATTGAAGATGTACAAAAGGAGATGCTTGTTTGGAGAGTGAGTTTCAGATAGCTGACACAGATGTGTTCACAGATGTGGCGTAGACATTTAGAAACATGGAAAACAGAACATAGAAGGGACTGGCCTGAGCTTTCATGGGTTTCAAAACTATCCTCGGTTCTAGGGTTTCAAATTCTTTTGTGATCACTGACTGAATCGCTTTGATATGTTTCTTATCTACTGTAACATTATATTGCAAAGCCTATTGCATCATTTCTCCTTTCATTTTGGACTGTTGGTCCTTGACTTGTGATTATTAACTCAGAAATGGTTCTCTTGGAGAAGGCTCAGTTGCTGGTGTTATCTCGGCTTCCTTTCAGTGGCCTGTGTCAAGGGAATTTGTTTTGAAAGTAAAAAGTGTATCTCTGTGCTTTTGGCAAATAGAATCAAAACTCTATCTTTTTCTGCTACACTTAACACCCTTTTAACTTCTCAAATCCGTCTAACCTCTTCGGTTTCTGTTTTCTCTGTCTCGAAAGTGCATGAACCCGTGTGATTGTATCCTGGCACCTTTACTAAAAAAAGTACAAATGCTTCATCATGGCAACACTCCTAACTATACTTTTGTCTCTTAAATATTGGAGAAAAGCAGAAAAATATATGGCACTTGACTTTAATGTCTTGTATATAAATATGTGTTTGGTTTATTTAGAAACCTTAAGTTAGTGTTCCGTAAATATTTAGTTCTTCCTTTTTAAAAAATTTTGAATAAGCAACATTTGGTACTTTATTGTGTTATAAATTAATGGTATACCAACTGAAATAAAAATGATAATATTAATTGTATTATGTAATAGATTCATGTTTTGATGTGTTTAGTCTAAGAAAAATACATAAAATTGTAAATGACTTGATAAAAACTAAGAATAAAGGTTATTTCTCAGTATTTTCATATCTTTGCAGCTCTTTACACATAAAGCTGAATTTTTTCCTCTATTGCCATGTTGCATTTTACAGAATTCCAGTGATATTCTTCATAATGGTTAACTTTCTAAAATAAAAATTAGTACTAAAGAGAAAACTAAAGTTCTTAATTAAAAAGCAGAAAAGTATACTGAGTTTTGAAATTAATAGGACTTTCCAAAGATACATATTTCTTATTTTCTAAGTCTATTTGCTCTGGTATTATTTATAAATGTTTTTGTTTATGAATGTTCACTAATTTTTCTGCATAATTAAGTTTTTACCTTAAAATCTTGAAATAATTCTAACCCTTCTATAGTGTACAAGTGTAGATTTCAGGCAAATTATCATTAGAGGTTGCATTAAATTAAAAATATATTCACACTATTTCTTCAACTGAGTCCTTGATGTTTACTTTAAATACACTATAATTTAGTTCATCAAAAGTGATCTTCTCTGAATTGTAGACTTAAAGTATACATGGCAATTCTTTCCTGGAAAATGACCATGTATAATAATTTTAACAATGTAAGAATGGAACCATGTGGAACATGTTTTTTCATGTGTTGCAAACAGATACAGGTTTTAAATGAGCCTCATTCTTCTGCAGTGGGAATACTTAAAACATGGGTGATGCTTGCATGTGGCTAAAGAAGTCAGATGATACCAGATTTATGTCAAGGAAGACAGGAGTTGAGGAAGCCAGCTTGTTCATTCGCGTAGTGTGTGTGCAGATGAGCTCTCCAGTATCTACAACTCACTAGACAACATTTGTTTTTAGGTTCAATGGTAAATGGATGGGGCTCTGCATCTGATGAGGATCGTAACTTTTCTAGTCATAGATCTAGCGTAGGTAGCTCCTCAGATGGCTCCATCTTTGCCAGCGGCAGTTTTGCACAAGCTCTGGTGGCAGCAGCAGATAAAGCTGGCTTTAGGCTGGATGGAACCAGCCTTACAAGAACAGGTTGGTAGACTCAGACTCTGGGTCAACACTCTGCATGACAGAATCTTGTCCTTTGGACACTGAGCTCTTCTTCTGTCCTTTCTCCTCAGTGAGTCTGATTGAAGGGATTTCTTTAGTATGCATGACCACAGTTTGGATGCTTAATTACCAGAACTCTCTTCTGATGCTAGTTTTGCAGAGCCAAGAATAGGCTCCTACTCATCACTTTCCAACCTTTATTTCCCTTTCCCTTCACGGTTCTGCTGATTAATTGGGATATGCTTCCTTTTTATATTACAGCAAAGCTGTAACTAAGATTGCCATTAAATTTTCAATAACTCACACTTTGCAAAATTCTCACAGAATCAATAATGTACCCAGTGATTAAAATTATTCAGCTTTTATCTTCATTACTTTCCTTTGCCCCATTTCTTTCTGCAAATGCCTTTTCTGGGAAGGCTTTCTCAGCATGGGGTGAATTGGTCTAAGGCTGTCAGTCTAACAATTCAAAGGGCTGGTGGTATTATTACTTATTTGGCTGTTAAAATGTTAATCCAATAGCATTGTTGTTGTTTTTAAGGATGCTAATAAAAGATACATCCACTGCATTTGCAAGTTGAAAAAAATTATGACTATATGTGTGTTGGTTTTTAATATAATCTACTTTTGGTTTCTGATAATAATAAGTAATAATATAAAAGACCAATTATATAACCTTTCATATAGCTGATCATCCCCCCAAATAACTGTGGGATTCACTCTAATAATAGGTCAGTAATTTGTCATTTGTTTTACTGAAACAAAATAACTTTGGCATGATGCATGTTATTACATGACTATCTATACGTCTTAAATGAATATATAATAAGGTCCTAATATATAAATTAAACTTAGCTACCTTACAAAAAACTAATAAAATTCTAAATCCATTTTTCAAATCTTAATAGTACCCAAATAATAAAGTAAAAATGATTTTGACCTTGCACTAAATTCTCAGGTTATAAAAATGAGTCTTGGAAATTGTCTTTGAAATATATCAAGACTATTTCCTTTGAGTATGCATTAGGTATCTTTGAATGAAATAAAAAGATTATCCAAGCATTGCAGAGGTTTATTTTTTATATAGCATCTGTACTAAAATATGTTGTAATGTAATGGTTATTTGAATTTTCTTGCTTTATAAGGCAGTAAGTCAGAAACTTTATGTTGCCTGAGTGATTTTTGTGGCAGAGCTATAACCAGAGCAGTGAGAAAGTACAAGGAAACTAATAATTAGAAGGCTAAGTACATTTCTTGCATGTATGCTAATAGCTAATAAAACATTAAGCAGTATTATCTCACACTGACTTAAAAATATAACTACATTAACTAAATTTTATGCAACAATTTTGTATAAAATTAAACATGCACAAGAGAATATATATATGCACATAAGCCAACCCTATCTTACCATAATATTAAAATTAAAAGATGTTAAAAACGGATAGCTAACCTTTTCCCAGAGTAAATTTCCCTACACATGTACACTAAGCCACAAGAAAAGGGCATAGCACATTTCATTTATCAATGAGAATTTGGAGTCTGCTCAGGTACAATATTATCCATTAAAAACACCCATTGTACTGTGGATATACAAGGTAGTTTTAACCTGCTCTCTATCCTGTACTATACACTAACGTTATTGAGTTTCTGCTCAAAGAAGTACAATTCATCATGTATGTGTATGGGAAGTAAGGTCAATTTAATATATGTTTCTGAGCAGATCTTTCATGTGAAATTTTAGATGTGATTACAATAGGACATTTTTCTGTACTCAAAGAGAGTTTGTGGGACTCAAGGGTGAAATTTGATTAAGCAAATAAGACAGCACATATTTATTTCCGCTTCTTTAATTTTAAGAAATAAAAGCTGCATGAATTTGCAAATACCTATGAAAATATTGCTAAGATTATCAAGGTTAAATAAAAATACAATCACATAAGATCATGTGGATTTGTTTTATATTTATTTGTTTTAATTTTTCAGTGGGTAGAATGTTGGTTATTAAAAATTGGTCAAGACAAATGCAGCAAGGCACACATTTTTCTATGGAGATGCACCAGCATCTGGAATCTCCAAATAGCATCTCCAGGCAGGTTAACAATTTAGAAAGAGCAAAAAATACAAGACAGTCAGAATCAGTGTCTTAAAATAACATTCTCCATATCTCCTTCCCTTTGTTTTTTGTTTGTTTGTTTGTTTGTTTTTAGGCAAAGCCTTTACCTCTTCTCAAAGGCCTCGACCAACTAGCCCATTTTCTACTGACAGTAACACCAGTGCAGCCCTGAGTCAAAGTCAGAGGCCTAGGCCAACTAAAAAACACAAGGGAGGGCGAATGGACCAACAACCATCATTGCCTCATCGAAGGGAAGGAATGACAGATGGTAGGTTTGATTCCTTCTCTCCTGTCTCCTCGCTGAAGAGCTATGCCGTGTGCCATCACTGATTGAGTTTAAAGTAGCTATGGTAGATTAGGCATCCCTCATTATATATCAAGGCAAAAGACCTGGAAATGTGGTCTTGTTTAAATTCAACACCCTCTTTTTTTTAACAATCTGGAATTATTTATATATTACCAAGCCCAAAGAAGTAGATGCCATACTACTTTTCAATGTTGATTTTTTCTACCATTCTGGCATTACCCATTAATGCTTTATAGTGAATATTCTCTTATAAGCTTAGGGGAAAAACATCAGTAGCATGTGCATTTGCCATGTTGTTGGAACATTTCTATATTAAGGTAAGCTACTTTAGATTATTTTACTTCTGAAAAAGACTATGATTTGCAATTTAGGAGTTTTTTAGTTTTGTGAATTTTAGGACTTAAAGCATGCTGCAGATTACCCAGTGGATGGGTCAGCAAACTTTTTCTGAAAAGTCCAGCTAATATATATTTTTTTGGCTTTACCAGGCCATATAGTCTTCTGTTACAACTGCTCACCCTGACATAGATGCCCTGTTGCAGCCAAAGAAAAAAGTTACTGAATTGATGTGACTGATTTTAAATAAACTTTACTGACAAAAGAGGAAGTGGCTAAATTTGTACAATGGCCCATAGTTTGCATCTATTTTTGAGTATTTGCTTAACCACTGCTAGTTTCAAGGAACACAATGGAAAATGTCCTTGTTCTTTAATGAGTAATGCATGAGGTCTGCAAAGCAGGAAGTATTTCCCATATATTCAACTTAATTCTCATATTTTAAAATAGGAATAAAAATATTCATTTTAAAGTTTTATTCTCAGGAATATGTATGATTTATTATACTTAGTGTAATGTTGAACCCAAAGGTAAATTTCTTCCTTCTTCTCAACACTACTCCCTAAAAAGCACATAAACTTTGTCATGAGATAGTTTTACTAAACACAAAAAAGGATAACTCTAGCTAGGCTGCACATCAGACCATCTGGGGAGCTCTTAAAATATATCCCAGAGATTTTGATTTAATTCTTCTGGGATGAAAAGCAGCTATGAGTATTTTTAAAGCTCCACAGGTGAATCCAATATGCAGTAGGCTTTGAGAAGCTATGACCAAGTCCTTAGCATTAATTATAGGACTGAATAAGGCTTAGCTGGAAAAGAAGTACTTATTCTTTATTAGTTTTGGTGGGGGAAGGGGTGTCTGACAGCAATTTTTGTGCTTTCTATTGTCATCTTATAATGTTAAGATTTTAAAGCTAAACATAACTTGTTTTAAGAGCTTTCAGGTTTACTTATCTATCTACTTTGATTTCATTGGAAAATATTTCTATGGAATCTGAGGGTAGGGGTACAATTGAGATTTTGATTCTCTATAAATGGATATCCTGTGGTGAGGAAAAATGCTCACGGACTGCCTTTCTACCTCAGATGTTCTGAAGATTAGTTGAGTGCTCAAAGCAGCCTATAGTGTTGATCTTATTCCCTCTGAATAAGAAGGATTACTCTAACTGACATGCTAGTTATAAATCTCAGAATTTGTGTCATTTTTCTGCTATGAATGTTATGGAAATAGAAAAAAATCCAAGTATATGGTTTTTTCTGTGACTTTTTCAAATTGTTTGAAGACCACATCCAGAATATGTGGAAGATACAATATAAATCAAGAAAATAGAGATCTCTCTTCTTTCTTCCTAGAACACTTTTCTTGCAAGCTTTTTTAGAATGTCTGGTTAAAGAAAACTATCTCCTAGTTAAAGCATGCTCAATATATGGCTTAGCTTTTTAAGAAACAAATAGCTCCCTAAATTTTCAAATTTGTCAGCATTCCAAAAAGGGGTTATTGATTATGTGTTCTTAGTGAATACTTTTTAGAAGTAGTGATATTGAAAAGGAAATATTGGCTCACATGTCTTCCCAAGTGTTTGACCCAGCGACATTTTAGTTATGATACAGGGACATTTATTTTGTATGACATTCCACAGATTATCCTGAAGGATATTGGTATTTCACAACTAATGTATATATAATAGCATTTATATGCTATGAATCCATGTATCAGTAATAATTTCATAATATCTAATCTAATAAAAGAGAAACATGCAAATTGACCATACCTCTGCTACACTCACAAGCCACGCCCACAAGCCAATCAGGAGCAAATATGTAAATTAACCCGACTAAGATGGCGGCGGCCATGGAGGTGGAGTGTTGCCCTCAGCAATGGAAGAAGCCAAGCTTCCCGCCTGCCCTGCCGGCCCTGAGCTCTGCTCAAGGCTACAAAGTTTCAATTATAGAAGATAAATAAATCCCAAATACCTGCTTCCAGCCGCCGTGGCCTCCTCTCAAGGAGGGGCTGAGAGCCTTGGTTGCCAGGGGCAACCCAGGCTTCCAGGACCTGGGCTCCACTCAAGGCTACAAAGTTTCAATTATAGAAGTTAAATAAATCCCAGATACTTGCTTCCAGTTCACAGCTGTGGCCAGCCTGAAAACAGCCATCAGCCCCTCACCCAGGTTGGCCAAGCACCCCAGTAGGGCTCCCCACACTGAAAGGGCCGTGGCCAGCCTGAAATCAGCCCTCAGCCCCTCACCCAGGCTGGCCAAACCCTCATGGGGTGAGGGTCCCCACTGGGGGGCTTGACCAGCCTGAAAATGGCCCTCAGCCCCTCACCCAGGCTTGCCAGGCACCCCAGCTGAACCCCCACCCTGATCCGGGACACCCTTCAGGGCAAACCAGCCAGTCCGCACCCGTGCACCTGGCCTCTATCCTATATAATAAAAGGGTAATATGCAAATTGACCCTAACAGCAGAATGACAGGGAATGACTTGTCACTATGACGCACACTGACCACCAGGGTGCAGAGGCTCAATGCAGGGGCTGCCCCGTGGTGGTCAGTGTGCTCCCACAGGGGGAGCTCTGCTCAGCCACAAGCCAGGCTGACGGCTGCCAGTACAGAGGTGGTGGTGGGAGCCTCTCCTGCCTCCTCAGCAGCGCTAAGGATGTCCAACTGCAGCTTAGGCCTGCTCTCTGCTGGCAAGTGGACATCCCCTGAGGGCTGCTGGGCTGCCAGAGGGATGTTTGATTGCCAGCTTAGGCCTGTTCCCCTGGGGAGCAGGCCTAAGTCAGCAGGTTGACATCCTCCGAAGGGTCCCAGACTGCAAAAGAGCACAGGCCAGGCTGAGGGTCCCCCCTGAGTGCACAAATTTTTGTGCACTGGGCCTTTAGTTTGTATATAAAACCCAACTGTCCTTTTTGGAAAGGTTAGTGTTTAGTAGCACTTAGCATATAGATATTTTATACTAAAATGTTTGCATTATTTACAATAGTGTTTTATGAGAATATTCATCAGAGTAATTATTGCTACCTGCTATGCCAAACAACTTACATTCTTCAGTGGCTTGGCACAGTAAAAGTTTGTTTCTCCCAGACCCAATGATTTTATAAAGGTCACATGGCTCTCCTCTAAGTAGTAATGTAAGGATGAATGCTTCTTCAATGTTGGGACACCATTATTTTTAAGATGGGACCTTTATGGTTTCTGAGTGAGAAGAAGACAGAACATGGGTTATTCACTTGGGAGGTTCCATGGTCAGGCCAGCAAGTGGCACATATAACTTCTCTTATTTCTTGGGCAAGGACTTTGTCACATGGCATCAAGCTAACTACTAGATTGGTGAAGCAATATTTCTTTGTGTTCAGTAAGAGTAATTGGGAATGGTGGGAAATGTCAGTCTCCATTCCAAAGGCTATGCAAACACCCACACACATATTGAGTGTTCTTCTCCCTTGAATAAAGTCTATCCTAAGCTGGCATTGTTCAATTCAAATGTTCTATTTCATTTGCATAAGCTCAAGAATACCCTATAAAGCCAACACCTGGACCACTGCTGAACAAAAAAGGTAGAGAAGGTAGTTCTCTCTTCAACCTTTCTTCCTAGATCATCTCCTTCCAGCCTGTTCACCACTCATTCCAAATACCCCTTTCAGATAAGGGGCTCTTTCACAGACTGGCTTTGACAATTGAGAAAATTTCTTTATTTATTAAACTATTCATTCAAATATTTATTAAGTTCATATCAAATGATAGGCAAACAAAGAAAATGCCCTGCCCTTCTGGAACTTGTATTCTGATGGGAGAAGATAGATAATTTCAACATAACTGCCCTCTAGGTGAAAATAAAAATTTTAAAGTGTATGTAAAATGGTAGTAAGTGTCATCGAGAAAAAATATACAAAGATAGGGGGGCAACTTTTAAGTAGAGGGCTCAGAAAAGATCTTACCGAGATGACATTTGAGAAAACATTGGAAGATTATAAGGGAAAGAGCAATGCTTATATGGGGTGGGGGGAGTCATTTCAGAAAATGAAAACAGTAAGTGAAAGCCTTATGCTTATTTGATTAAAAGCAGCGAGAGCAACAAAATAGAATACAAAGTCAGACAAGTCAACTAGGGCCAGAATTTGTAGGACCCTTAAGCTTCTATAAGGACCTTGGCTCTTACTTTGAATGGGAAAACCCTGGAGGTGCATGCAAGTGGGTGTGTGTGCATGTGCATGTGCATATTAAGGCAAGCGGAGTGACATGATCTTACTTTTGTCTTTATAAAATAGTCACTCTGGCTGTTTTGTTGAGGTAGGCTGAATGTGCTTCTATGTGGAAATGCAGAAACCACATAGGAGGTTATAGGAGTTATATAGGGAGTAGATGATAGTGATTCACACTATGGTAGAATCAGTGGAAGCAATGATAAAGGTTGAATTCTGGATATAGTCTGCAGATAGAGTCCACAGAATTTGTGAATAAATTAACATAGGCTGTTAAGCAGGGAGGTCAAAGATTACACCAAAGTTTTGGTAAACTTATAGAATGGAATAGCTACTAATTGAGATGAGGAACACTGCAGAGGGAGCATGAATTGTAGAGGAAGATCTAGAGCTCAGGTTGGGTATATGAAATTTGAGAAGCCTTCTAAACATATAAGTCTAACTATTCAGTGTGGACTTGGTTATCTGAGTTGGGAGTTCATGGGAGGAGAGATCCAGGCTGTAGATATGTAATTTTTCCATGTCTCCTTTTTTTTTTCTAAGAGAGAGAGAGAGAGAGAGAGAGAGAGAGAGAGAGAGAGAAATACTGGCATATATATCATTGGTCTGCTGTACTGCTATGTGCCAAACAATAGCAAATCTTTAGTAGGCCAGTAAGAGACTCTTTAGCAAATTGATTCTGTTAAAATGAATCAACATAGACATGAATAATAAAATTAATTTAAGTACATATATTTGATTACATACTTTTATTTTTTCCACAGCCATTCTCACTTCTATCTTTTTTCCACTTTTTTTTTATTTCAATGTGTATGAAATGCTCTTTCTTTTTAGGATATACAAACTCCAAGGGTTTTAATGATGTAGCTGTATAATTTCAGGTTAAATTAAATAGTGATCAGAATTTTAGCTAACATAAGCAGATTCCATCAAGCCATTTAAAAAATTAAACTGCTCTGATAGAGAATAAAAATCAATGACAAAATATGTTGTTTTGGAAGAAATTACAATAATTTCTCTCCCACTGGCAGTCTTAAATCCAATAACTCAAAGGATATAATGAATTAGAATTTATAATAATACATACTGAAGGAAGTCAGCTTTGAAATCAAAAGAAACACCAAACTCTTTGGTGGATTATTTAACAAACAGATATCTCAATATTAGATTAGCTCTTCCTTTTTGGAAGCAAGATTCTAAATGCAACTTGATTCTCCCAGACAGAAACTCTGTCCCCTCAATAATTAGTATTCATCATCTAACAAGAGGAAATGCATGAGAAATAAAAGCTCTGCTCCAACGTGGGAACTTCCTGAGCAGATGCTGCGGAGACCATTGCTATCAGTTCAACAAAGGACAATATCACTTTCCTCATAAAGAAAGTATAACGTTTCTTAAGAAAGTCTTTACAAGGAGCAGCTTAGATTTCCTTAAGGAAGCTACCTATGGTCCAAAAAAATTATACCTTACCCTTTTAATTTTACAAATAATACTATTAGAAACAAGAGCACAATTACAAAATTGTATGGGTATTAATTACCTATATTATATACATTATCCTCTATAATAAAATAAATATGTATATTATATATGATATTTGGTCTTTATGGGCAAATAATATTATTGATATTCTAAGGATGAAAAAATTTTTAATGGGATGCCAGAAGAAAATAATCCATAGAATATTAAAAATGTTTAGATTTCAATTACTTCAATGAAGTAATTTCAGCACTAGTATGACTAGTATAACAGAACTAGTACAGTACTTAAAGAAATATGAAAGAAGGTTTATGATGTCACAACTGAAGACACTAAAAATATAAAAGTAATGACAATCTAAAGAGCTAATAAAAAGACAATAAAAAATTAGCCAAGTCTTTGAACTTTTAATTTTTTCATATCTAATATGTAATTTAAAGAACTTTTCTGAAAAATTATCTATTCCACTATATCTCAAATTTTCATGATACAGTGTCTACTCTAGTACCATGAAGCATATTCTATCTGTGCCTTGAACACTGGTTATTACTTATTAAAATTAATACATTGGAAGAGTATAACATATTAGTTGTAACTCATTAGTTAACTCATGAAATGAATAGCTAGCATTGGTTGTCAGGCAGAATGTTAATTGCATTTCATAAGTGTTAGCTTAAACCTTTTGTTGCTAAATGTGCCACATACATGAGTAAAGGCAGTCATATGTTGCATATGATACCGCATAGAGTTCTTAATTTCCCAAGGGCAAAATTTCCTATGGAGATTGGCAGGACAGCATTTATTCTTCCCAGAGCCTTTTATTAACACAGCTGCTAGAATTTCTAGTCATTTTGTGTCATGGTATTTCTACTCTGGGAAGTGGGGGTGAACAATGGATTAAATATGGAGAAATCATAAACTGCCCTTTGCACCTTAAATGTTAGCCTCAATGTGCAATTGAAAACATTTTACACATATAATAGTTGAATAAAGTCATTTGATTTTATTTCAAAGACACTGTGATCAAAAGATAGCAATGAGATCAATAATATGCATTTGGATGTAAACAATTTGCCTTTTTCCCCCCCAAAAAATATTTTTTGCATGGGTGATACTTTTAACAGGGCAGGGTTTTTTTTTTTCTTCATCTTGAACTAAAACCTGTATTTTTTTCATTAAATTTTAGTCCATTCTAAACATTATTCAAAATTTTTAGATCTTCCACCACCACCAGACCCCCCTCCAGGTCAGGGTATAAGGCAACAAATAGGCCCGAGCCAGCATGTTGGTAACGTGGAAAACTCAACAGAGAGAAAAGGAAGCTCTCTGGAGAGACAACAAGCATCCAACTTAGAAGACACAAAGAGCTCATTGGATTGTCCAGCTAGAACGTCCCTAGAGTGGCAGCGACAAACGCAGGAATGGATTAACTCCACAGAACGCCAAGAAGACATACGGAAAGCCCTACACAAACAAGGTGTTGGACCAGGTGTGTTCTGCACAGTCCCAACAAAGTGTGGACTTTTACCATTTTTTTCCTACCAGGTATTTTAGAAATGACAGTTGTTTAAGGCTTCTGAAATGCATTTGCCTTGAATCACTAATTGAATTTGGAGTTCCGAAGCAGAGCTCACCGGCACATCCCTAAGGGCTGATCCCGATAGGGATTGCTCCTCAAGTTAACCTCTGCTAGGGTCTTTGAGCCTAGAGACTGCCAACCTCCATCTATAGTGCTCATGACACAATTTGAGGGTTTTTTTTCTTTTTAATGTTTATATTGAGTACTTTTAAGACCACAAAATTTCACCTTTAATGTCATTTTAAACTCTGCCTCCAACCAATTTGTTCATTTTGACTGAAGTAACTAGTCATTTTGAAAGAAGAACTCACTTCAGTCAAATTGCTGAATTGAAATAATCAATAAAGTTACGAATCAATGCCCAATCACAGAATCCTCAGGTTAGAAAATTTTAAACTGAGTCTATACTTTCTCCAGCTGATTAAATTTAGTTAATTGTTAACAATTTAATGGGGGAATGTTCTTGTTTATATACCAAGTTTCCTGGAAATATCACAAAATAAATTTAGTGGTTCATAGTTGGGTTTTTTTGGTGAGGGGTGGGGGTGAGGGAGGTTGGTAGTGAGCCTGTTCCAGAAATGCATTTTCTGGATTACCTCTTCTTATGTCAGGATTCCTTGGTTATTAAAATACACACACACACACACACACAACATTTGAAAGAGTTTCCTTGTACATTCATTTATTCATTTGGACTGAATCTGTTCTAGATATGTCATCTTCACATGCATTTTTAATATTATATTTTGTCACAACTTGGTGCTCAAGGTTTTAGAAATATAGTTTATGCAGTGGCTAAAAAATGACAATATTAACATCTAGGTTTAGTGAAACATTTAAGAAGGTTAAGCATTAAGACTATGAGAGAAGAATCATGTGATCCTTGTCATTAAGATTATCTAAAAAAATAAATACTAAATTCAGTCAGCAATTTTTTTAGTTTTACAACCATAGTAATAATGATCAATACCTAGAAAAAGAAAAAAAAAGGTATTGGAGAGAGAAGAAAAGAGAAGAAAGGAAGAAAGAAAGAAGCAAGAGCCCAGCCCAGTGTGGCTCAGTGGTTGAACACCAACACAGGAACCAAGAGGTTTCGGGTTCGATTCCCACAGGGCACATGCCCCAGTTGTGGGCTCAATCCCTAGTAGGGAGCATGAAGGAGGCAGCCAATCAATGATTCTCTCTCATCATTGATGTTTCTATCCCTCTCTCCCTCTCCTTTTTCTCTCTCCAAATGACAATAAAAACATATTAATAAAAAGAAAGAATGAAGGAACGAAGAAGAGAAGGAAAGAGGGAAGTGAGGGAGAGAAAAAAGGAAGAAATAAGAAAAAGCATTTCAAAGTATTAAATATCGAGTTATGTACATTATTTGTAGAAAGATGATGCATAAGGAGAACAGACACGTTATTTATTAAAATGTATGAGTGTCCCTTTTTCTGTTAAGGGAGAATACAGGCTTTCAAATAATGTACTTCTTTCTCAAGAAACAATAGAAATTTAAGAAGCTTATTTTTAATAGCTGATATATAGTTCTTTATATAATTTGAGAAAAAATGTTTTCATAATTTAAAGTCAAAACCATGTTCTTTCAATCTTAATAGAAATATTAAATTGGAGCCTCCACTAAACTACAGAAATTATTCTCAGAAATGTTTTAGTTAAATAATATGGTTCATTGTACGCAGATCTCTTATAATATCTTTAAATTTTGCAAATGATACGTAACATTGTCTATGTATTCCAATACATCTTTTAATTTAATTCTGCTTTAGTTCCTATTGTAGGAAATGTTTGTTGTACATGGAAATTTCTTTTAGATTTCAAGCCTTATTAAATCTCATATTTTTAATTTTCCTAAAATTCAAAATGGTAAAACAGTTCATCTTGAGCTAAATATTTAAAGTTAAGTTTGTTTGTTAACATGCTGCTGTTTAACTTAGCACTTTATGTTTCTTTTTTTTTTTCTTTTTTTTTCCAGAGGAGACCTTGGTGCCCTACAGCAAGCCCAACTTTCCGTCTCCAGGAGGTCACAGCTCATCAGGAACAGCGTCTTCTAAAGGATCCACTGGACCTAGGAAAGCTGAGGTGCTGAAGGGGGGCCACCAGCGCAATGTCAGCGACCTTCTTGACATAGGCTATATGGGCTCAAATAGTCAAGGACAGTTTACAAGTGAATTATGTAAGTGCTGTAGGAGATTGAAAAGGCTATGGTGATCTAGAGAGAATATCTGCGTAGTAACGTAGGGGAGGAAAACATTTTACTCAACCCTCTTAGGTTCCCTGGCTGTATCTGAAATTTAAACTGACAAAGATTAACAGGAAAAAAATACATTTTATTAAGTTTTTGCATATACATGGGAACCTTCTCAAGAGGATGAAGGTCTAAAAAACTGACAAGAGGCGGAAACTTTTCTACCTTTTAGACAAAGAAACAATACGTATGTAAAGAACTGACCACATAGAAGGGTTTGAGCTAAGGGTAGTGAATGGTGAAGAAGTAACTAGGATGATAAGGGTTAGTTTTACAAGGTTTGTTTATACAGATTTCTCAGCCCCAACTCTTGTGATAAGAATGTCCTCCTTCCTCCTGGCACTGGGGGCAGAGTAACTGTCACAGGGCAGTTGTATAATCTGTTTGAGGAAACAAGGGTGAACGGGGGAGGCCAGAGTGACCTTCCAGCTTCTGCTGTGTCCTCAAACTCTTTCACTTCAGATGTAAAATATTCCAAGGTGCTGTATTTTGGGGTAGCAAGTCCTGAACCCCATCAGTAACATTGCCACAATAAACAAATTTCACAATAGTAGAAAACTTGCTCTACTATGAGATCAATTATAATTTTGAGCAGGTTTGTTTATAACTTAGACCATTGCTATTTACAGTAGTCAATTTAATAAACATGTCCTTTCTTTCAAATTTGATTTATATTATACAAAAATCATCTTAACATAGGCAATTAGTTTTAATACTTGTAAGTTGATTAAATATGGTCCACTCTGTAGCTTTCTTTGCCTTTATAACTGAGTATTAGCTTTTTGGTAGTTTTAAAAAACTTCCTTAAGAATTCTTTTTTTTTTTAATTTGGTGAATCAACCTTAAAATGTTGATCTTTGATTTTAGTTAACTTGAAATACTTTGACTATTACAGCATAACTTAGAAATAAATTTCTCTTTTTGAATAGGGAACCAACATCGGTGCCTATTACAACTAATCTGTTTTCTAAATATAAAGTACTAGGAAATAGAGAAATTTAAAATATTACTGTATGTCACAGTAGAAAGCATTGAACTCTTGTTAATTTCATCAGGAAAGTTACCAATTTTGCTATTCTATTTCAGAATAATAGTTGCTGAATATGTTCAACTGCTTCTTTCAATACAGTTTAAAAACACTGCTAAGGAGCAGCCCTGGTTTCCAATCTCAACTGCTTACTGGTTATGTGAAAAGAGAAACTAAACTGCCTTCCTAATCTTTTTTCTTATCTAAAATTTTACTTGCTATTATGCTCACCTGGCAGACTGGGGATGACATGAAATAAGGAAAACTAAAAATACTTTCAAAACTTTAAATTATTTATTGATATGAGTTATTGTTTCATATTACTAACCTGATTATTACTAAGCTATGTTTATAATTTTTATTTTGATTCATGAGTACTTGGATTTTTCTTTAACTTTTATTTGGGAATAATTATGGATTCACAAAGGTGCAAAATAGCTCCAGTTGAATTTTAAATATCCAAATTCCACAGGGTTTCTTTTTTCCCCCCTTTCCCATCTCATTTCAGTAAAATTTCTTAAATTCACAAACTCATGGACTCTATTTGATAATGTTACTTTCACTTATTATCTGTCCCCCTGGTTTTTGGTATGCTGGATAAAGGATACTGCACTTAAATGCAAACTTACTTCTGATTTGTTTTTCTCTTTATAGAGTAACTGAGATGAGACATGCAAAGCTGCTCTGAAGGACCATCAGGTCTGAACTCATGGAAGTGATGACACTTAAACAGTGCAATGAACAATTCCTTTATTTATGTACTATTCAAAGAACTGTAAATGCAATGTAAAGACACACAGCCACACATATCCCACAGATATTTTCCTTGTGTTCTTCTGTTACGTACACCACCCACCTTAACTCTTTCTTGTCAGGAGTAAACAAAAAAGAAAGAAAACAAAGCTCGCCCTCCAGGAAGCAAAGGATTTCCTCTGTATATAATTTCTTTTGTGCATTGCTATGCAAGCTCACTCTTTTTAGCTCTGTTCACATTATTGTCTGTTCTTATTGGTCTGTTGTACTATATGTGAATTAATAGGCTGTGGTGCCATATATTAACTTTTAATTGTGTAACTTTTATGTTTAAATTTTGCACTGCAATTTTATTTGGTGATAAGCACAAATCTCTACTCCTCGTGACATGAAGAAAAAGACTGAATGTGAAGGGAGTTGCTGTACTGTAAGCTAGGTTGGATAACGCTGATTGTAACCAATCACGTTGGATGGTTTTTGGTTGGGGTATAGAAATAGGAAGATGTGAAGGACAGTGGTGTTAGTGAAGTCTTCTTTGAACATCAGGGACCAAGTTAATAAAAAATTTAAAAAAAGCAGAATGGTGGCTTTTACTGTTGATAAAAGTGTGGGTCAAAAGAAGGAAGTTTAAGACTTAAGACTGAATAGGCATTAAACTATACAAGTAGCGAAGATATACTAAACTTGCTTTAAGACATAATAAGGAAATTAAAGCTATATTTAGAATCAGCTTTACCTCTTGTTGTAATTGACCCATCTGAGAATTGCAACAAGCAAAAGGAAATTAAGGTGTTTCACAAGAGCTGTATTTATATTACAGTGTTTTTTTTAAAAAAAGCATTTTCTGAATTAACATAATTAATCTCTCCAACTCATTAAGTCAAAATATAATATGATGTTCCCCAAGGAAACAAACCAAATGAACTCTAGAATATCCAGCAAATAGTTAAAGAGGCAATTTATTGTTAGGACATACTCAGGCTGCTTCGAAATACAAAAACTCTATTGCAATATCTTGTTTCATCTTTCTAATACATGTACAGTACACACTAGAGGATAGAGCTGCATCACTTCAATTCATGACTTTTAAAATAATAATGCAGTCTATATGCAACTTTGTGTTTCATTTGATGAAAAAGTGAAGTTTATGCCACCAAATGTACAGCCAACTTGTAAGTGCTTAAAAAGCAGTGCTCAGAGTATGTTCAGTTCACAGTAAGTAGACTTATTGGAATAAATATTTTATGGTACACTTTCAGAAATGGGCTACCAACTAAAATATGTTTGACCCATTTTGAATGAGTAAATTGAAAGAAAAATTGAAAAGGAGAAAAATGCATGTTTATACACTTTTTAAATAAAACCGAACCTGGTAAATGGACATTAATAACAGTGTCCTGCCTCATTTGTTTTCACGACGTTGAGAACAAGCATTTCCTGAATATCAGTCATGTATGGTCAAAATGAATATGACTTTGAAATATATGTTAGCTACTCTACATGTATAGTCAGTCAAGTAGAAGAGAACTTTCCACTTGTGACATTTTCCCGTGTGCTGCCTACACAATTGTAAATTCTCTCTCTAGTTATACTTTCTCATGTTTTTCCTATGATGTGTTCAGTAGTTGATACTTTAAAGTATATTCAATATAATGATAAGTAGGGATTAATTCTAAAATACAGGACCCATTGGAATGACAAATCATTGGTAACTGAGCATTTTTGGCTCAGTCATCAAATGTATGTCATATTATTACAGTAATGGCAAAATTAAATGTTTCCATCTTTTATGTCACCTGAGGCTGCATCGACACAGGCACGCATGCAGAAACTCAGTGTTCTTTATGGGCCCCAACTCCTGTCATGCACTTCATTTCTTCATGGAGGAGAAAATTCTGAGACACACATATTAAATACGTCATCAACTTTCTCCCATAAGTGTCTGAATTTTAATTCAGTTTGATTTCTTTGGGACAAAGAGACTGGGGAGGATGAGAAATTTCTTCTCAGAATGAGTGCATACTTAGTCACAACTGTAGAATGTGAGGAATTTAAATTTTTGGTTATGCAGTTCCTTACTTCATCTCTTTCTATTTAAAAGCAAAGCATTTGTATTTCCTTTTTACATTCCTCTACAACCCGATGTAATCTAAAACCTTAGTTCATTACACATATTACACATAGCCTTTTGCCCCTGGTAACTGGCAGGTGTATGTGACTAATAAACCATGACTTCAAAAACAGAGTATATGCACACAGGTGACTTCTGGAATAAGATTGGGCATGCATCGTACCTAATTGTCTCCACTACATAAAATTCACTGTTATGGTTATATTATGTCAGGGTGGACTTTATGGTGTCTTGGAATATTCTTTTAGAATAGTCCACCTTGCCTATTAAATCTAGTTTTAAATAAATTGGTTGGTCAAATATTGCACATAAAATACCATCCTCAAGTAGATACAGAGCACAATAAATAGCTGTGGCTATCCACATGAGTTCAGGAGCACTACCAAAACATCAAGGCTTTGTCAGCTTGCCATAGGTAAAAAGCTTTTAATTCTTATAGGTCAAAATATCATTAAAAATGCAAGTATGAGAAGTATCATGAATTTTCATTTTGTAGCCAATTGAATGACTGGTTAGAAATTCACTGAGCTCACTCTTCTGCAGATCTAAACAGAGACAGGCTCACATACGCTGTTAGTTAGAAGGAACTCTGGGTGGGAGAGGATGTAATCTTACCTGCACAAAAACAACACTGGTATGCAGTCGTACCCCACAGCACAGCTCCATTCATAACAGGCAAAGTCTCCATTGGGGACATAGAATCAGTGTCCAGCTCAGGTATTCGTCAGTGTATGCAGGCAGAGTCAACCCCTTCTCCAAAAATTTTCCATGCCATATTTAATGTAAGGTGGGAGAGTACAGGGGCATGGAAACAGTTGATTCCTTCACAGGATTAGAATCCAAGGAAGAAAAAACATTGCAAGTTTACTTGCTTTAGGTAACAAAACAGATTAAATGGTTTTCTATGCCATGGTTTAATGCTCTACAGATTAAATGGTTTTCTATGCCATGGTTTAATGCTCTGGGTATTTAGATATATTTTCAATGGGGTTTGAGTTGAAAATTTGTAAAAGCTTGATAGAAAACCTCCAAATTCCTATTGAACTAATTTGTGTAATTGTCCACTGACAACATAATGATAACAATACCAATGAACTCTAAACTGGTTTATTTTCTCCACTAGAAAGTGATTGTGTGTCAATATTAAAAAATGCAAACCATGACATTCACTAATTTGTTCATCTGCTTCTGTATATTGTATTTATAGAATTACATGACAAGAATTGGTGTAATGCAACATGTCTTTCCACATTACCTTAGAGGTAAAATTACTTTTATTTTACTTCTCTTTAATGTGTACTTCAAATGAAACACCATACATTTTAAATGAAATTCCATTTACTAAGTTTTCTTATCTCATAATTTTTAAAAGCATTTATTGTGACTTTAAAGTGTTGCAAGATAAGGGATTTTGTGGCCGTGGGTAGACTTTTTATATTTTGTTTTATAGATGGATTCTTTTTTAAATGTACTTTGTTTACGTCACCAAACAGCATTCAAGATCTTAATGTTTCATTTGATGTTGTTAGATCAGAAAAGAAATTGGCGTAACATTGATTAATAGTATTGTCAAAGAATTGTGTATTGTGTACTCACTGGGAAAAATAAAATATATTCACATTTCAAATTTGTTAAAAAGCCATTTATGTAAAACAAACTTGCTTATAGACAAATTATTAACAGACAATACTATCACTTTTAGAACTCTGTATTAATATTTTGTGCCCAAAAGCATAATCTTCTTTTCTCATTTGCTATGGGTTGGGCAATGATAACTAAAAATTGGCATTGATATAAAGTAGTGACTAAAGGACATCAATGAAGAATGTAAAAAGCATTTGAAATTAAAGTTTTCATTCTATTTACCACTAATTTCCAGATCTGACCTTCCTCATCCCAAAAGACCTTCATGTAGAAAGAACAAAAACTTCTTATCTACAAAATTACTTAATAATATATATCTATATCTATCTATATATATATATATATATATATAGATAGATAGATAGATATATATATTTAAACTAAGTGTGAGAATTGGACAAAAGTGGATATTAGCTCTAGAATAGCTAGCAATAGCTTTTTTTAAAAAAATGATGTTTATGTTGAAAAGTTATCATAGTGACTGGGTAGAAAACATTTCCTATTTGCATTTCATAAATATTTCATTATTTTTTACTTTTAAGTACAATTATATGACCATTGTCTCTAAAAATAATTTATGTGTTCTTTAAAATAGTAATCATAGTAATAGTATAAATAAAAAGGAAACTAAATTTGAAGCATTCATTTAAAGTATCTTAAAAACACATGGTAAAAGGGCAATACAGTTTTATTTAATTTAGATTAACAATATGAAAATAAAATAGTATTAGAATAATCACAAATAATGTTGCATTAATAAAATACAATGGTAATGCATATATATGGTTAAAGACAATATATTAATTACCAATATGATAAATGGTAGAGAAATTTAAAATTAATCATCGCTTTATAGAATTTAAGTATATTATGGAAACACAAATGGAAAAAGTGAAAAATTATCAGAAGCTTTATTAAAATAAAAATACACTATCTCTCTTGATTATTCTACCTTAGCTAGAAAAAGCATGCATCAATGTTGTAAGAGAGAATTTAAACAACAAATAATAATTAATGTCCTCAATTTGTGAAAATAGAATTTATCTCTTCCAAAGAAGAGCTTTGTAAAGTTCATGCTAAATTTCACTTCATGGTAGAGATGTGAGTAGAGACTGTAATAACAGAAAGCCAATTTGTAAGATTTCAAAAGAAAAGATGAGTAGAAATGCTAGCTAGAAGGGGAAGACACTATGCTATCTCCAAAAGGTTTCAAGAACTCTTTCACCTTGATGAATTTGGTGGTCTTGGTTTTGGTCTTCAACCTCAGAAGGAATTTTCTCAGGCCCAGAGAAGGTGCACAAGAGTGTTAATAAACTGTCAAGAAACCCAGATACAGAGGCAAGAAATCTGCATGGTTGTGTGTTTAATTTATAAAGGATTACAAAGTTGACCTGCTTTTGTGTCGTTTAGTCAACACATTTTCTCTTTGCACTAGTCAAGTTATAAGGAAAATATATATATATATATTTAGAAGTCTTAGTAACTATCCAAGAAAGGTACGTCTGTGATTCAAATACAATGACCATGGGATCCAGGCCAATGTCAAGGACAGGGAATTTGTAGGTCACTCTAACTTCCCTAGATCATAGCACCCTAGCATCCTTTCCTGTAAAATGCTTTGACAATGAATACAAGCTCTAGGTCATAGACATTTAGCTTGACAACATTTAGTGTTCTTCTAGACATTTGTGAATAATGTTTCTGACCAACTGGCTTTGGGGTTTTTATTTGTTTGTTTGTTTGTTTATTTATTTATTTTGCAAGCAGGTATTGAAACATTATGCTAAGAATTCAATTTTCAGAATAGTTAAAACAGAAATAGCTTTTCCTTCATAAATTTATTAGCATCTTCTGTTTAATCTGGCCTGGATCTCTAGTAACATATCTTTTTTGATGAATGTTTGTAAGCTAAGAGGAAAGAGGCAATGAGCAAACTAGTGTTTCAAAAACACTTACAAACAATACAATCTGCATTAGCTTCATTTATGCCCCCACCATCAATTATCATATTCTAGCATTTCTCAAAATAGTCTATGGAATTTTTTAATAAAATTTTAACCCTTGCCCAAGGATATGTTTTTATTAATGAGAGAGAGAGAGAGAGAGAGAGAGAGAGAGAGAGAGAGAAACATCTATCATCAAAGGCACCCAGACTAGGAATCAAATCTGAAACCTGGGTATGTGCCCTGGCAGGGAATTACGGTAAACTCATGACCTTACAGTGTATGGGATGACACTCCAACCAACTGAGCCACACCGGCCCATAAAATTTTAATAGGTATTTTAAAAATAAAGGAAAATATAGATGAGTGGAAGTTCCAGGGTTGGTTAAGTATGTAAAGAGATTTCTTTACTACTTGACTCCTTTTCAGCTCTGTTCAAATCTTATATGGCATTATACTTTTTGTGCTGGGCCTCTTGTGAGACTAGCACTATGTGAAACCCACCTTGAGAAATACTCTCATGGAAACTGTCCTCCCTCATTCTGGCCCTAGGCCCTACATTGGTGGTCCCAGAGACATTTCTGCCAGGCCTTCCTTGCTGAGGTTTTTTAAAGTCAATATTAAGTCATGAGGAAGAAACATGTGAATCTCAAGTGTTCTAATTAGATG